TCACAGGTATACCCAGCCTTTTGGGTTTTAGTTCATTCCAGATGTAATTGACAACCAAGACGGCCATCACAGGTAGGTAGTTGACCACACCTTTGGTTTTCTTTCATATAATTGAAATGCTGTTGTTTGTAATTCCTACCTGATTTTTTTTCTGTCTCAGTTTCCTTTGCTTTTGTGGTAGGGTGGTTATCTCTTATTTTAAACAGCTTTATTGAAATATACAATTTATATGCCAAGAAATTTGTCTTTCAGTATATTTAACATACCATAAAATTAATCTATTTTAGAAATAAAATATCTTGGTGGGCCAGAAACAGATAGCTTACTAGAAGTGGGGTCATTATGACTTTCAGGGTTTTTCCCTAGTGACCCACATCACCAGGGCTATGCCTCAAGGGCTCCAACAACTCCCCTGACAGTGCCGTCATGAGCTGGTAACCAGGTGTTTAGATGCATGAGCCTATAGGGACATTTAACATTCACGCCTCACATTAACACTCCCCACGCTGAGTCTGCTCACTCACAACCTGACTGGACTTAGAGGCACATCGGTCGTGTCTGCACAGACATTTTCGGAGAAGTATAACTGCGGAAGGAAAACCCACTTAGGATGTGGATAACACACTCTGGCAGGAAGGGAAGAGCCAGCCGAGTGAGTGTGAGAATCTCTGCTCTCTCCTGAACAGTCTGTGGAGATTTAAGAGTCCCAGCTCCCTGATTCCTCTACCATGAGCTTCCACCTTGGAATGGACCCTAAAATCATGAGCCAGAATAGGACCTTCTTTTACATTGCTTCTTGTCCCTCATCACAGTAACCAACGCATCTCCACTCCTGCCTGCCCCTGGTAACCACCAAGCTGTATTTTGTCTCTGTAGACTACCTATTCTGGACATATAATATAAATAGGATCACATGTAAAAATCTTTGTCTCCGGCCTCTTTAACTTAGTATAATGTCTCCTAGGCTCATATATGAGGTAACATGTATCCATTCTTCAATTTTTCTTATGGCCGAATAATTCTCTATGTGCCACATTTTGGTTATCTACTCACCAACTGACGAGTGTTTAGTTTTACCTACTTTTAAGGTATTAAGAAAAAGCCACTAAGGGCATTTTGTACAAGATTGTGATGGGCTATAATTACAATCGACTGTATCTCTCAGATAGTCACTGAGAGTGATAATTGCTATGTTGAGTGTTAGCTCTAAGTTTAACTTTTTGAGGAAATGGATATGTCATTTTACAGGTCCCAGGCGTGTGTGGGACAGCCGTATCATCCAGTTACATTAGGATTTTTAGAAATAAATTAGCAGTAGTAGAAGTATGTCATATAATTTTTTATTTACATGTAAATAAACACATTAAAGTAAGCGTCTGTTTGTGCTTTCTCACTTGCTCGTCTGTCTTTCTCTCCCTTCTTCTCTGTCTCTCTCTCTCTGTCTCTCTCCCTCCCTCTTCTCCCCTCTCTTGTTCTTCTTTCCTCTTTTAATGGTGCCTTGCTACATATCCCTGGCTGGCCTTGAACTTGCCATCCTCTTGCCTCTGCCCTTAGTGCTGGGACTACAAGCCAAACAAAATCCTAACTTCATAATGTTATGAAGCTTCCTGACCCTGGGCTCGCGCCTTCCACACGTTCCCAGTCTCCTGCTCTTCAGTAGGGAAAGCGTGCTTGACGCTGTCACCACACAGTCAGTGCGTGTGCGGCCCCAACAGACCAGGCTAATGTGAGATTCGTTCTCATATTCACAGCTTTGAAACTCTCATAAGGATTTTTGGATCTTGTAGAAAGAACCCCTCAAAGTCGGCCTGGGCACATACCACATGGGGATTTGGGTGACTTCCCAACCCTCTTGGTATAAAGGAAAAGAATCCTATTACCAGAGCTTCTGTTTATGCTAGAGGTCATGTGCTGGAAAGCCCACAGCAGCACATCAAATGATGAGCCTTCGAAGCACTTCCAGGCACAGCCCCTAGAAGAGGGAAAAGGACTTCATTTTTAAAAATTTGTTTTTATTTTATGTGTGTGGGTGTTTTGTCTGCATGTATGTTTGTGTAGCACGTGAATACCTGGTGCCCAAAGAAGAGGTTATCAGAACCCCTGGAGCTGGAATTATAGACAGTTGTGAGCCTCCCTGTGGGTGCTGAGAATTGAACCCAGGTCCTCTGCAAGAACAACAAATGTTCTTAACCACCGCGCAAACTCTCTAAACCTGAGGTCACGGATATTTCATACTGCATTTTCTTTTTTCTTTTTTTTTCTTTTTTGAGACAAGATCTTCCTATATAGCCCTAACTTGCATGGAACTTGCTATGTAGACTAGTTAATCTCTAAGTCATAAAGATCTCCCCGCCTCTGCCTCCAAGTGTTGGAATTAAAGGTATATTTTTACCAGGTCCAGCAATACTGTGTTTTCTTGGATATGTTTTAAAATTCTAGTTTTTGCATGTAGTTTTTTTTAAAAAAAAAAATAACTTAGCTTTATTTTTGAGATTTTAATATAATCACATCATTCCCCCTTTTACTTTTCTCCCCCCAAACTTTCCCAAGTTTACCCCCTTGCTATCTTTCAGATTCATGGTTTCTTTCATTATTGTTACACACACACACACACACACACACACATTCCTAAACACATAAATACACCCTGCTCAGTTTGCATATTTGTATGTGTTTTGGGGCTGACCTTGTGGTATTGGTTAACCAACTGGTGTGCTCCTCTTCCAGTCTCACTGTTCCTCAGTTGCCTGTAGTTCCTTGTCTTGACTTGAGGCCTTGTGAGCATCCCCTGTCCACAACATGTCCCCTTGTGCCGCCCTTGTTCATGTCTAGGCATCCACACTGGTGAGGTTTTATGGTTGTAACTTCCGATATTCCTAGGAGGCAGTCTCACAGCAAACTCCTTCGGGCTATCACAATCTTTCCATCCCCATTTCCACAACGATCCCCGAGTCTTAGGTGCAAGAGTTGTATTATGCATGTGTCAGTTGGGATGGGATTCTACAGTTCTGCGTTTTAATCAGTTGAGATTTTCTGTAATGGTCTCCATCTATTGCAAAGAGAAGTTTCCTTGATGACAAGTGAGAACTGTTGGGAGCAGTGAACTCCCAGATCCTGAATTTCTTGTAAACAACTTGTTTTCCCCTGATCTGAGTGCCTACAGCTGCTCTGAGCACGAGACCCTCAGGAGTTTCTGATGGCAAGAGAGTGGTTTCTGGTGTGTTTGGCTGGGGCGTGGCTATCTCTATATAATCTGCGCTTGAACACAATAATGGGGGCATTCTTGGGGCATTCTTGTTTCAAGGATGACCCGTGTTTTTGTCTCTCTGTCTCTGGGAGTCTTTGTGTGTTTCAGTCTCCAGCCCCTTGCCCAGTTCGCGAACTGTACGGTAGCACATGGAGTGCAGACGGGTACCATGTGCCATAGAGAACTATCCTTATCTGAGCGCATAATGATAAATATTTAGAATGTAGTTAGGGATTATGCTGGTTTAGTAAAGTTAGTAAAATTTAGTCTTGTAGGTTCTTGTGGTGGGTTTGATAGAAAAATGCCCCTCAAAGGGAGTGGCACTATCAGGAGGTGTGGCTTTGATGGAGTTGGTTTGGCCTTGTTGGAGGAAGTGTGTCACTGTGGGCATGGGCTTTGGTGGGTGTGGGGTTGGAGGTTTCCTATGCTCAAGCTGCTTCCAGTGTCACAACTTCCTGTTACGTGAAAGATGTAAAACTCTCAGCTACCTCTCCAGTACCACGTCTGCCTGCAAGTCACCATGTTCCACCATGATGATAATGGACCAAACCTCTGAAACTATAAGTTGCCACCTCAATGAAATGTTTTTCTTTATAAGAGTCACCATGGTCAACAGAAACCCTAGCAAAGACAGGTTGGTACCAGCATAGTGAGCTATTGCTGTGGCAGACCTGACCACGTATTTGGGAGTACTGTGGAAGGACTTTGGAGCGTTGGGCAAGAAAAGCCATTGGGGGTTGAGACTTCAGTGGGATGTTCTGTGAGAGCTTGGAAGATAAGAATGTTGAGAGGCAGGCAAAAGACGGAGGTCTGGCTTGTGAAATTTCAAAGGGAAACAAAGACTATTTTGTGGTTCTGGTTATCTGGGCCTGAAGAATCAGCAGTGATTAACAAGATCCCGGAACTACTGAAGTGAAACCTTTATGTCACGGGGACAATTGATGCTGGTCGGCTGGAGCTGTGAAATGAAGGTGATTGAGAAGAGACCAGCATCACCGAGGTGAAATCTGGGAAGTGTTTCCTGAGGGCACAGAGAAGCTGTGTTCCAGAGGCAGCCATGTTATACCTCATGTCGGCAGCAGGACTTGGTAATATAAAAGCTTCACCCAAGTGGTTCTGGTTTTGAAGACATGAAGGGGGCATGGAAAGCAGCTAAGGTTTGGCACTGGGAGAAGCCAGGAGAGGCCATTGGCAAAGGTGCAGACCCAGTGGCAGTTGAAAGCCCAGGACTGAAAGGATCAGGCAAAGAAGTCGAGGCTTGTCACCATGAAGAGAGCCTATGCAAGGCTATTGGGCAAGGTGCAGCCCAGTTGCAGCAAGGGACTCCAGAATTTTGGAGTTGCCAGTACTGTGGGAAGACTACCAAGGACGGCATCAGCAGTGGAGTAGAGCTGGCTGGAGCTTAGAAGACAAGCTGTGTGTGATACAGAGGGCAGAGCTGGAGAAGTGACCCAAGACCTTTGCAGGGAGATCGTGAGTGAATCCCAGATCACTGGACACTGAGTTATTTATGCTGTTGGAGTTTGTTTCTGCTTGGTTCAGATCATGACAGTGCCCTGGTTCTTCCATCTTAAAGGAGGCGTTTAACTTAATTTTGATTTTTAAAGGAGCCAACTTGAACTTTTTTTTCATCTTTATTTATTTATTTATTTATTTTTAATTGAGAATAGGAAAAAAGTTTCCACCTCCTCCCAGCCTCCCATTTCCCTCCCCTTCCCCCACTCTTCTCCCCCTCCCCCCACTCCTCTCCCCCTCCCTCTCCAATCCAAAAAGCAGTCAGGGTTCCCTGCCCTGTGGAAAGTCCAAGGTCCTCCCCCCTCTGTCCATGTCTAGGAAGGTGAACATCCAAACTGGCTAGGCTCCCACCAAGCCGGAACATGAAGTAGGATCAAAACCCCTTGCCATTGACCTTGGCTTCTCATCAGTCCTCATTGTTCGCCATGATCAGAGAGTCCGGTTTTATCCCATGCTTTTTCAGTCACAGTTCAGCTGGCCTTGGTGAGCTCCCAATAGATCAGCCCCACTGTCTCAGTGGGTGGGTACAACCCCCGTGATCCTGACATCCTTGCTCGTGTTCTCCCTCCATCTGCTCCTCATTGGGACCTTGGGAGCTCAGTCCAGTGCTCCAGTGTGGGTCTCTGTCTCTATCTCCATCCATCACCAGATGAAGGTTCTATGGTGATATGAAAGATATTCGTCAGTATTGCTATAGGATAGGGTCATTTCAGGTTCCTATCCTCAGCTTCCCAAGAGACTAACTGGGGACATCGCCTTGGGCTCCTGGGAGCCACTCTAGGTTCAAGTCTCTTGCCAAAACTAAGGTGGCTCCCTTTACTAAGATATGTGCTTCCCTGCTCCCCTATCCAACCTTCCTTTATCCCAATCTTCCTGTTTCCCCAAGTTCCCCCAATCCTCCCCTTCTCACTAGAAACACTATCCTGAGCGAGGTAACCCAGACCCAAAAAGATGAACATGGGATGTACTCACTCATAATTGGTTTCTAGCCATAAATAAAGGTCACGGAGTGTATACCTGGTGAACCTAAAGAAGCTAAATAAGAAGGTGAACCCAAGAAAAAACATATAGTTATCCTCTTGGCTAAGGGAAGTAGAAAAAATTGCCGGGGAGAAAAAAGAGATAAAGGGGGAGGGGAGGGTAGGGAATAAGGGGGGACGGGGAGACAACTTGAACTTTTAAAGGAGACTGGATATTTTAAAGAGACTCAAATTTCAAAGTGCGAGACTTTTAAAATTATTTACGATCTTCGTATGAGATCTTGGGGGATGAATAAGAAAGGAAGGGTTGTGACTTCATAGTAAGAGTCTCAAGCCAGGTGGTGGTGATGTACACTTTTAATCCCAGTATTTAGGAGGCAGAGGCAGGTGACTTCATAGTAATGTACTTATGTGTCAAGGTGAGAAGGGGTCAGCGGTACTGGCTGGTTTTGTGTCTTACCGTGAACTAAGACTGAGTCATCCGAGGAAGGAGCCTCAGTCGAGAAAACGCTTCAGTGAGACCCAGCTGTAAGGTATTTCCCATTTCATGATCAGTGGAAGAGGGCCCAGCCCAGCATGCGTAGGTGCCATCCCTGGGCTGCTGGTCCTGTGTTTTAGGAAAGGGTGGACTGTGCAAGCTAGGGGAAGCTAGCCAGTAGGCAGCTCTCCTCCTGCCTCCAGGTTCCACTCCTGCTTGAGCTCCTGTTCTGACTTCCTCCAGTGATGGACTATGATCCGGACGTCTCCTCCCCAACTTGCTTTCTGGTCAATGGTGTTTTGTTTTTGTTGCTGCTACAGAAACCCTAACTAAGACAGTTCTCCAAAATCCATGAGCCCACAGGGCAGAGCAGGATCTGACCTGAAAACCTCCTCCCTGAGGACCTGAGGACTAATTCTCATGGTACCAGAAGGCACTACGCAAGCTTCCAAAGAAGGAAAGTGACCAGGAGTCCTGCCCAGCTGTGACACCTGTGACCTACGATAATGACCAGCAAGGCACAATAACCATAAATCTCCAATAATAGCACACATGCCTTCATGGTAATCAACAAGAGGGAAATCATGCCTGGTACTGGGAATCTTACACAAAGTTTTATAATACATGTTGAGTTAGACGATATGAGGTAGGGGTCAAATTTATTCTTTTATGCAGGGATAGCCAGTCATAAAAAAACAATTTCTCCTCCACTGAATGAGCCCACCATCCTTGTCTCTGACTGTATCTTTATTGCAGAACTTCCTGACTTTTGCTTTAATTTGCGGTGAACTGGGTAGGTCTTTGTTGCATTAACTTTTCCTGGGGAGACAAGAACAGACATCTACTCTGCTTAGATAAGACACGAGAGACGGACAATTGGAACGACTCTCCCCAAGTGTAGCTTAGAGAGCCAATCAGTTTATCATACTTATTTGCAGGAGCATGGGCATAGAGTGACTTACAAGTGTCCCCAAGCAGCTGTACCAAGAGAAAACCTTCCTCCAGGATGTGTGACAACTTCTCCACAGCTGCACTGATGGAGCCCTTCTGCCCATGTGTTCATTGTCTGCTTCCTATATGTGACAGAGCCTCCTTCCTGAGATAATGTGCAGCCGTGGCGGAATCACATGGGGAGGGGAGAGTGTAAACATGAGTGCCCGGAAGCTCAGGTGAGAGTCTAGTGACCCACCCAGAGGCCCCATCTGAGGGTTGCTTGTGTGCTTCTCTGATCAAAATGGCAACAAATGGCTGTGAATTCAAGGACAGCCTTCTACAAACAACTTTCTATCTTATTGGAGGACAAAGAAAATATTTCGTTCATTTAAAATGGCAAACATACATACGAAAAGCTCTACAAGAGTTCCTGACAGTAACCATGCACGTCTTCCCTTCTTTGGTCTCTCCAAGGGATCATTTGGTGTGGTTCTTGGCACATAGTAGTCAGAAATATTGTTTGCTATATGTGAGCATAAGTAGGCACCCCTAAGAGGGTGTGGATTTCCCCGTTTCGATTTCCAGCTATCCAAGAGTCCACTTGTTTAACGGCTTGCCCAGCCACAGTGTTTTTAACATGTGGATATGACCTCAATTTCTTAATATTGAATTTTGTTCTTATCTGCCTAAAACCAGAAATACTGTTCTCAGGCGGCAACAGTCACCACTGCAGAGGCAAAGCAATGGCGCCGGCATTTCTGCCTCTGCTGACCCCTCTCTCCCTTTCTTTTTCTAGCATACTGCACGTTGGGAGCTCTCACAAGTTCTCAGAAAGAGAGCAGGAGACTGCCGGTAAAGGCCGTTCATCCCACGCATCCTACGGGTTTTGGTAGCTTTCTGTGACATTCCAGAATCTGCCCTCCGTGTGAAATTACGCATGCGCACCGACAGAGGTGCACACAACGACTTTTGTTACTCTGCTCTTTCCAGCTTTGGAGCAGTGTTCACGGGGTAGGCCCCACAGTTAAGTGCTTCAAATTACAGCCTCTGACTTCAGAGCCAGCTCCCCCACCACTTGGCTAAATCACCTCTCTACAAATGATCGGGTATGGGACTCTATAAACACATTTTCTTCCTGGACTTCTAGGGATGGTGGCCTTCTCCTAACCCTCAATTAGCTGGAATACGGGGAGACTATATTCACTTATTTATGTATTTGTTTTTTACTCTGCCAGAGACACGCCTCACCCATGCTGGCGAAGTGTTCTACCTCCCGCCAATCTCAAGTCCTAAGTGGAAGTACAGATGCTCTCCTGGATTCCCACACCCTCAGTTTCCCTCCTTCCCACCATCCCTCATGCAGTACACCCGTTACAGCCGATAAACTTACTCAGACACAAGGCACGTCTTTGTCACCCACAAAGACCATAGTGTGCACGGAGGCTCAACCTTGCTGTGGTACACTCTGTGCCTCCAGACTGATCTATAATGACATGTATCATAGAGTAGCGGCAGAATGATCAGGAGTTCGAGGACAACTTAAGCCACGTGTCCCGGGGCGGAGGAGTGTGGGGGGGGGGGGAGAGACAGACACACACACACAGACAGACACAGACAGAACTCCAGAGTCTATACTCAACTCTAGGTGGTGCGCGTCAAGTGAAGTTCAGCCTCTCCCAGCTGGCCCATCTCTCCTGGCTGGCCTAGGAACCGGTTCCACCCCCTTTTGTTTAAGTGTCAAGCGAATGGGTTTCCTGTTGACTCCGGGATATTGTGAAAGGGCAGGAAGAGGCCAGGCCTCTTCGTCTCTCTCTTTCCTCGCCAACCCCTTTATTTATTTTGTGCACGTCTGTTTGGGTTCTGGGGGTGTTTCCAGCTTGTGCTGCTGGAGGGCGGCCTCAGCAGCCGGTAACCCCTCCCCAAGGAGGCGAGGCCGGCCGGGAGCCCGCCCGATCCCAGGCTGGACCTTCGCGGGGCGGGGAAGGGGACAGGACGGGAAGCGAGCGGCGAGAGCCAGCCGAGGAGCTGCAGGCCGCCTGTGCGTGCCCAGGAGGCGGGGAGCTCGGCCGGGTCCGCGCCCCAGCTCCGCGCGCGCTGCAGGTGGAACCCTCCTTCCCCGCCAAACGCGCTGGCGAGGGGCACCGGCTGCCCGCAGCTCGCCCGCCGTCCCCGGGCTGCGCGGTGGCGCCTCGCCCATGGCTGAGGGCCGGCGGCGGGAGGACGAGGAGGAAGAACTGCGGGAGCGCCGCGAGCTTGGGGGCCCGCGCCGTGCCCGGGGCCGCGCGCTCCAGGGCCATTCGGCTGCAGGTGAGACGCGTGGGGCGCGGGGTTCAAGGCCACACGGGGGTGGGGGAGCGCCTAGGAACGGGCTCTCAGTGGCGTGGCCATTCACTCACGCCCTGCCCCGCGCGGCGGCAGTTCTCGCTGCAGCCTGGAGGGACTGACACCTTTAACTCGTGGAGGCGAGAGGGCGGGACGGTGGCCATTCCATCCTTAGTCTCTTTTGGGGGGCTGAGCCCGAGGTAATTCGGTTTGGTCTCTTGACCTGCTAGTGGCCTTGGAGCTGAAACTCCAAAATTTCCGTGCAAACCAAATCCAAGGCTGCCGGTTTGGAACTTGTGGCTGGGTGATTACTTATCTGTGGGTGAGTCAGAGGCCATGGAGAGCTCCCAACGTCTGGTTCTCCGGGTGGACAACGACCTCTCCCTAAGGTTTGGCCTGCGCCACCTCAACCTGGTCAGACTACGTGCCCATACTGAGTCAAGTCTTGTTTCGGGCGCAGGTGAACTTTGGACCTCTGGGCCTTTCCTTCCCTCCCTCCCCCACGGCACCAATTTTCTGTTTGAGAGTAATTTGTTGAAACTGTCCTCCCCGTGGTAAAAGGGAGTGTCCATGTAGTATCGGAGAATGGAGTTTATTTGGACTGGGGATCATTTGGGGGCCTGTAGTAACCTTTATGATCTTGTTTCGGGGCACACAAATGCTGCACGAATCAAGTAACTTAGTGCGTTAAGTGTAAGATTAAATGTAGATCCTTCGCTTTTCCTGTTTTTTTTTTTTTTAAATCTAACATAATGGGGAGGAAATTATTGGGGCTTTGGTTCCAGCTGGCTAAGCACAGTTATCTGCAACTGGAGAGAAGAATTAACCTGGAGGATGATGCGGAGAGGTGAAGGATTTGGGGAGAGTCGGGTGAAATCCGTCACCAGGCCGGAGGCTCCTTGGGAAGTGAACATGGAGGAGCTTTTCTATGTGACCACTGGGAGAAAGTTGGGTCTGTGAAAATGGAGGACCGAAAATGGGATACAAGGGGAAAAGGAGAGTTGATCAGAACAGGATACTACTCCGGGGAGGAATCCTGGGACCTTAAAAAATAACTTCCTATGGCCCTTGCTGGACTTTTTTTTTTCCCCCAGACACTTGACTGTCACCTCGAACACCAACTGATAATAACTGGTCGTTTTGTTCGGTGTAACCCTCAGTGAAATAACACGATTGTCGAGTAAACGATCCGAGAATACAACGCGAAAAGTTCGCAAAGATGAGCCTTCATTGCTGACGGGTTTAAGTGTGGGCTGTACTGGATTCCTGGCACCTTTCCGCCAAACGCTTCCCTCTTAGGAAGCACTACACTGTGGAGAGCCGTGGTGGAATTTAAACTAGATATGACCCAGATATATGTTCAGTATTTCCTCAGTGTTGTGGCTCCCCCCCCCCCCAAGACCAGTATAAATGTGTGAAGGCTGCCTGGGCATAGTTAGGTTCTGTGATAACAGTTTGCCAGGACATGGTGGTATGCGGTTTCTGCATCTAGAAATGGGTGTTTTCAGTTTTTGTATCTTTAATATGACTTTTCTTCACAAAGGGGTAGGGGACAGCGATTCCATAAGTGGGGTAAGAGGGTCAAACTCACAGTTTTAGGTTTTATTGTCTTGGGGATAAATTATTTAATAGTTGGCATGTTTTATAGGTGGTGCTTCTCCCGCCAAATTTATTACCATGTTTTCAAACACTTTTTGCATTCCTTACCAAGCTTGGGCATTAAGTCTGGTACTTGACTGGTGCCCCCTTTCCAAGTGAGCTTGTGAACTCATTCTGAGGCCTAGCGTCCCTGTGTTTCTTCCTGACAGTAGTTCATTCTGCTGGTTCTCAGTGTCTCTTCCTCCTTCCGTCACGTCCAGACTTTCCCCCTCTCAAGATTCGTCCCTCTCTTTAATCTCCTTTAACCTGCTGCGTGCCATAGCCCTGGGACCTGTAGACTTGAAACACCCAGTGAGCACTCTCTCCTGCTGCTGACTTATGTGTGGTTGTATAAATGTATCTAGTTTTGCAGTATACTCACAGTGAATTATGAAGCGAAGACTCTTCTAACTTATGCAAGAGTAAGACAAAGAATATCAGTTCCTTAGAATTACACTTCTATCCCTCCCAGACATTGCCCCTTCTCTCTGTATAGTTAACCATTAAAACCTTCGCATGTGTGTGTATGTGTGTGTGTGTGTGTGTTTCTAGGGACTGAATCCAGGCCGTTGTATGTATTACACAAGTCCTCTACTACTTGCTATTAAAAAATATTGAAACTTTTTCTTATTTTGTCTTTAAAATTTTACTATACACATCCTATACAATATTAAGTTTATAACTTGGCTTAGACAGAATCATTCTGAATGTAGTTTTTCCACGGTCATGCTATGTAGCCCATTCTGTCCTCAAAGTCATGCTTTTTAAAAATGTCATACTTTTTGTTTTTGTTTGTTTCTTGGATGGCAGGTGTAGGGTATCCTTAGTAAAAAGCTGTGATTTTAATAATCGTTTCATCTTACACATAGAAAGTTAATTGATTTAATTCTTACTTCATAAAATATATCTAAGTTTTCTCAGGTTTTTTGTTTATTTGTTTGTGGGACTAGGAGGACATGCTAGCTAGAGATTGACCCTAAGGCCTTACCACTGCTAACATGGGTCTTACCAGCCCTATTTTTTAAAATTTAAGATATTTTTTAAAGTTCCAAAATATTACCTGAGGCACCAAATGGACTATTTCCTCATCTTTTGATCATTATTATTATTATTATTATTACCCTTCTATTCCCCACACATTACTTCCTTGTGATTTCAGTTTTCCCTTAGTGATGAAGAGACCACACAGAAAACATTATAACATAGCAGGGTGAGAGAGGGGAGATTGAAAGAGAGAGGGAGAAAACAAAAGGATAAAGGGAAGGAGGAAAAAGAAAAACCCATCTGAAATTTTACAGAATTGGAGAAGTTACCTAGTTGACATTAATTTATGAGTGGATAAGCGCAGAGAGGATTGCCATGCACCGAATCTTGTGGACGCTCGTGGACACTTGTGGACGCTTGTGGACACTTGTGGATGCTCGTGGATGCTCATGGACACTCGTGGATGCTCGTGGACGCTTGTGGATGCTCGTGGACGCTCGTGGACGCTTGTGGACACTTGTGGACGCTGTGCTGTTCTTAACCATGTGGGATATTCGCTGTTGACGGTGTGATACAAAATCCTTAATTGCCCCTCTTGACAGCTTTAATATAAAAGCCAGGCACATTTTAATTCTTGGGGGCATCTTACTGGCCCATTAAACATCAGTCTCAAGCAGGGAAGACTATTGTGGGTATGTCAATCAAGTGATTCTCAAACTTTTTGCCTTATAGGGGTTGAACAGTCACAGAGTGCTAGCTGCCCTCTCAGGTCCCTGGTCTCCACTGGTTTTGGGAAAAAAAGAATAAAAAGAATATCATTTGGCAGGGGACAATTTGCTGAAGCCATTCTCTCCTTCCATGTGGGTCTCAGGGATCAAACTCAGGCAAGCAGTCACCTTTATTCCCTGGGCCATCTCACAGGCCCTGATCAGAGAGTGTTCTTAAGGTGCTCCCAGACATTTTGATGCTTCTGGTTCCTTCAGAAGGGTACTTTTGAACCAAACAGTTGAGAAACAATGAGGCAAACACAGAGAAATCCACAGACAGCACATACGCTTATTTTTCATTCTGGGGTTCTTGGCAGCTTAAAGGATTCCGTAGTTGATTTATGTGAGGAGATCTAGACAGTCAATGGCATTCTCTGTTCTTGACTTTTCTTTCCCACCATGGGCCAGCAGTTCTTCATCTATCTGCTCAGCGAAGGCTGGTGTGTTGGCGTTGCCACGTCACGCTGGTGACTGCTGGTGAAGTGGGACCACGTGGAGGGCGTGGGAAGTAAAAGCTGGGGTCACCAGTTCTCTCCAGGTTTCCTGTGACTGCCTTAGCTTTTAAAATGGAAAGTTCCCAGGAAACTCCGAAGTGTTAGGTGCATCAGGATGTAGAGTTACCCTCAGCCCAAGCCAAAGTTAGACTTCTTCTGACCTTGGAGGAAGAGGGAGGAAAAGGAAGGATGAAGATTCCTGATGAGACCACACTTACACCAGAGTGAGAACCTGTTTCTTTCAGTCAACACTGGAAAACTGATGTCACAGGTTGATGTAGGCTTTTATTGCCCTTTAAGAATGGGCCTTCTTAAATATTTTTTTTTTACTTAACACCCTTTTTAGACCAGAAAATTTTTATATAGGCCTGGATGTACAAACCTATAAAAATATTAACTGAAAAGAAATCATAAAGAGGTCTGGAGTGGTTAAGAGCACTGCCTGCTCTTCCAGAGGTCCTGAGTTCGATTCCCAGCAACCACATGGTGGCTCGTAACCATCTGTAATGAGATCTGGTGTGGTGATGTGT